ATGCATACAAGATCTGGGGTACAGGCTAGAGGTGTGGGGGGGTGAGAGGATTCACCAGAGACAGAGTGGGGAACAGAACAGGCAGATTGACTGCAATACACTGCTGAGGGGAGCAGCGGGCGAGTCAGGAGAGGTCTGCTAAGCCATGTGGGTATTTCCCGGGCTGGGGATCGAACTTGTGTTGCTGTGGCTGTGGCTAGCTTCATAGGTTGTGTCTGAACCCCTTGCGCCACCAGGGAGGCCCAGCACCTATACCATTTTACATTCACAACAGCAAGCTATGAAGTTTCTAATTTCTCCCTCTCCTCGTCAACACTTATTCTCTCTCTCTCTTTTTTGGTCATCCTAGTCAGTATGAAGTGGTGTTTCATTGTGGTTTTGATTTGCATTTCCCCAATGACTAATGATTTGAGCATCTTTTCATGTGCTTGTAAGCTGTTTGTGTATCTTCCTTGGGGAAAATTCTAGTGGCATCATAGACCCATTTTTTTTTTTTTTTTTAATAGAGGCATGTTTTTATTTATTTATTTATTGTTTGTTTGTTTGTTTATACATGCACTGGGTACAGTCAGAAGCGCAGGAGGGTGAGAGAATTCACCAGAGCCAGGGCGGGGAGCAGAGCAGGCAGAAGGACCGAAGTACACTGCTGAGGGGAGCAGCGGGCGGCAGGAGAGGTCTGCGCGCCATGTGGGACCCTCCTCCAGTGGCCGGGGAGCAGCCGGGGATTGAACCGGCGTCGCAGAGGCCGCGGGCAGCTTCGCAACCCAGCGCTCAACCGCTGCGCCACCGGGGAGGCCCATCATAGACCCATTTTTAATTGGATTGTTGGTCTTTTAGTTCTTGAGATCTAGGTGTTTTTTATATATTCTGGATAGATGTGAGATGCAAGCTTTTCTCCTATTCTGTAGGTATGGGAAAAAAATAAGATGATTAATTTGATGACTGTGTGTATAGGAATGACTGCAGGAGAGACGAGAGGCAGAAAGGCCAACGAGGAAGCCATTGCAGGTCTTCAGGTTGCAGTGTACACAAGAAAATAACAGTAGGAAAATTCTTCCAAAAGGCTGTGTCCCACAAGTAAATTTGGAAAAATCCAAATGTAATGCGTGAGATCAGTTATACGTAGACGTAGCAAATGACCTAGTGTAGTTTTAGGAAACATAATTCTATCAATATATCTAAAGCTCTAGCAGCCTAATCACTTAAAGGAAAATGACTGGACCCCTAACACAATCAAACTCAAACCTAATCAATTATAATAAAATGACTGAAGTGAACATAAACAGAATCAATTATATTAACTTGACTGGAGCTGAAACCCAATTAATTGAACTGTACCTTGCTTTCATAGAAGGGGGAGACAGACTGCATGGAATTTCCCCAGCGGGAAAAAAAAATGTTTTCATCATTTCCCCAGTAACATTTATGTTACCAAGACAAGTGAGTATCTTATATGCTTACACAGGAAATAGATGCAGTTCTATCTCCTAATTCTACTTGTTCAGTAAGCAACCTTCTAATTATACAATGTATGACTTCAAAAATCACCAACTATTCTGATCAGCCAATAGAAAGTCTAAGCCACTCGAAGTTTTATGTAGAACTATGTAAATCAATCAATGACTTAAATATCATGCTCTTTTAAGTCTGGTCAACAGAAGTGAGTTCTCCCAGGATGAACTGATTGACCAAAATTGACTTCTGGGCATTCAATGTAAGGTCTGGATCCCTCTTAAAGGAGAAAATTCACCCTAACGTCAACCCAGGTGTGAAAGGAGCATTATTTCATGTACTCAAATCATGAGTGTAGCTTTTTGTTGTTGTTTTTTTCTTTTTAAAGATTTATTTATTTATTTGTTTGCTTGTTTGTTTTTGCATAGAAGAAATGGGGTGTCGGCCAGAGGTGCAGGGGGTGGGGAGGTGAGAGGATTCAGCAGAGACAGAGTGGAGAATAGAACAGACAGATTGACTGAAACACACTGCTGAGGGGAGCAGCAGGCGAGACAGGAGAGGTCTGCTGCGCTATATGTTGGTAGGTCCCTGGCTGGGGATCGAACCCGTGCTGCAGTAGCTGTGGACAGCCTCGTAGGCTGCGTCTTAACCCCTTGTGCCACCAGGGAGGCCCACACCACAGTTCTTGTATGCATAAATAAATAAATCCTTAAAAAAATAACTTTGGCTTGAAGCTCTGTGAAGGCCTTCAAGTCCAGATCCACAGAAGCCGCCATCTTGGTTCAATCTGTTTCCTCTGCCTCTTGCTTAAACAATCATAGATTGCTTCTCCTCCCTCCACTGCAAAATGGGAAACAGTGCAGTGGTAATCACAGACAATGGCGTGTGCGCAGCGATAGCTGTTGACCTAGAAGTGTGGGCCTATCCCCTCTGCAAGATGATGAGTGAGGACCCCTCAAGTCTTGGGTGCTCAGGAGGGTACTCCTTGACAGCAAAGCAGGTCTTGGGGAGATGATAGAAGAAGATAACTTCTTTCTGACCTTACACCAGTCTGGCTTTGTCTCTGAGGTGTAGGAAGTGTCTCCCCAACATAAAACTATGATGAAATTTAAGACCACAAAAAGGAAGCTTCCTGGGGTCATAGAGCTGCTGCTTTCATACAAGGGAATGGGTCAGAAGTGCTAGCTGCATGAACTCCTAAGACTGCCACTTTGGGTTCAACTCTACCTCTGAATTATTGAATCATTCTTTCTGAGGACTGAATCCATAGGCAGCCTAGAGAAAACACCTTTGCTGTGGTACAAAATTGAATGTTAGCCATGTACTTAGAAGACTCTAATCTTCTCTTCCCTTCACAAAGTAGAGAGGCAACAGCCTTAGTGAAGGACAGGGTGACTTTTTTTCACCTTAATAAGATGAGGCCAAACATGCAGACGTATGTGCAAGTAAACTAGTAGATTTGGGAAAGTTAGAGCGTATCATCGAATTGAGTCAATTTTGTCAAAGAAGGGCCTCCCCGGTGGCGCAGCGGGTTGACCACGGCGCTGTGAAGCTGTCCACAGCCTCAGCAGTGAGGGTTCAATCCCTGCCGGCCAGAGAGATCCCCACATGGGGCAGCAGACCTCTCCTGTCTTGCCCGCTGCTCCCCTCAGCAGTGTGTTTCAGTCAATCTGCCTGTGCTGTTCCCTGCTCTGTCTCTGGTGATTCCTCTCACCCCCTGCATCTCTGGCCTGTACTTGTATGCATAAAGAAATAAATGTTGGGGCCTCCTTGGCGGCGCAAGGGGTTAAGACACAACATATGAAGCTATCCACAGCCTCTGCAGCACAAGTTCAATCCCCCAGCAGGCTAGGGAGAAACACGCATGGTGCAGCAGACCTCTCCTGACTCACCTGCTGCTCCCCTCAGCAGTGTATTTCAGTCAGTCTGCCTGTTCTGTTCCCCACTCTGTCTCTGGTGAATCCTCTCACCCCCCACACCTCTGGCCTGTACCCCAGTACTTGTATGTATAAATAAATAAATCTTTAAAAAATAAATCTTTAAAAAATTTTATCAGTGAAATACGAGTCAAGGTTATCTACTGAGAGGGAAGTAGAGGGGGTGTTAGAGATTTTAGAAGGGAGAAGATGTGAAACAATTATTGAGCAAAGTAGAAAAGAGAATTTACCATCGAAATGTAGATTTGGAAACATTCCATTTTTGGCAAAAATTTAATGTGATACCAGTCAACAAGATACTGAGATTTTCTCCATCAGTACAGAACTGTCCAGGTATTGATGTGGAGAAGTTGCATTATAGAACCTAACCAAAATTGCTTTATTTTTATTTTTTTAAAGATTTATTTATTTACAGCTCCTCTCAGCAGTGTATTTCACTCAATCCACGTGTTCTGCTCCCCACTCTGCCTCTGGTGAATCCTCTCACCCCCTGCAACTCTGGTCTACACCCCAGCTCTTGTACACATAAATAAATACAAATAAATCTTTAAGGGCCTCCCTGGTGGTACAAAGGGTTAAGCACCATATTATGAAGCAATCCGCAGCCCCTGTAGCATGAGCTCGATCCCCGGCCGTCCAGGGAGCAACCCACATAGCGCAGCAGACCTCTCCTGACTCGCCCGCTGCTCCCCTCAGCAGTGGATTTCAGTCAATCTGCCTGTTCTGTTCCCCGCTCTGTCTCTGGTGAATCCTCTCATCCCCCACACCTCTGGCCCGTACCCTAGTTCTTGCATAAAGATATAAATCTTTAAAAACAAACAAACAAACAAATAAATAAATCTTAAAAAAAAAAAAAAAAGAAGGGGCCTCCCTGGTGGTGCAAGGGGTTAAGACACAACCTATGAAGCTCACTGCAGCCACTACAGCACAAGTTCGATCCCCGGCCTGGGAGGTGATCCACATGGCGCGGCAGACCTCTCCTGACTCTCCCGCTGCTCTCCTCAGCAGTGTATTTCAGTCAATCTGCCTGTTCTGTTCCCCCCCTCTGTCTCTAGTGAATCCCCTCACCCCCCAAAACTCTGGCCTGTACCTGGTTCTTGTATGCATAAATAAATCTTAAAAAAAAAGAAAGAAAGGTCCTCCCCGGTGGCACAGCGGTTGAGCGCTGGGTTGCGAAGCTGCCCGCGGCCTCTGCAGCGCCAGTTCGATCCGCGGCTGCTCCCCGGCCACCGGCGTGGGTCCCACATGGCGCGCAGACCTCTCCTGACGCGCCCGCTGCTCCCCTCAGCAGTGTACTTCGGTCCTTCTGCCTGCTCTGCTCCCCGCTCTGGCTCTGGTGAATTCTCTCACCCTCCCGCGCTTCTGACTGTACCCAGTGCATGTATAAAACAAAACAAACAAACAGACAAATAAATAAATAACATGCCTCTATTAAAAAAAAAAAAAAACTTCAACATATCTTTTAAAAAAAAAAAAAGAAAGAAAATGAAAGGCAAAAGATGGTAAACAGAGGTTAAATCCTTCACTATTTCAGAGGGTTTTTGCTGGATTGAATTGTTGCAGCTTTCTTTTCTTCCCCAACCTTGACCTTCCCTTATTTCTTCTCCTTACCTCTTCCCACCAGAGAAAGAAGCACTGAAATCTGCTTCTCATTTCATCTGCTTTTCATTTTCATCTGACAGTGCTGCATCCTCCTCAATATGGATCTCTGTCTTTTTCTTTCTGTCTCTTCATTCTAGAAAAGGTAAGCTGATAGTTGGGGGAAGATGAGGCTGGGAGGCCTCTGCCTTCCTCCTTGTGAGTGTCTCATTCTCTGGCAACTGATCCCCTTGGGGAAATACTGGCAGAGGTAGCAGCACCAGGTTATGAGCGTGGTTTCAGCCACAACCAGAGGGAACACAGACAGGAAGGCCTGTTGAGTGTGAGGGCCTGTGTGGAGCTTTGTCAGGAAGAACTTTGAATGCAGAGAATTTGAAAGGGGGCCCAGAGGTCTGGGTGCATTAGATGATCTTTATCCCACATCTCCATGTGTCGTACATGAGACTTGGAGAATCAAGGTGCTCAGGCTCACCCCAGTGAAGAGAACCCCAGGAGCCCCTCCTTGCCGGCCGCTGTCGAGATGGTCACTCCTAGAGGCTAGAAACACCTCAGTGAAGCCCTGTGAGTTACCCCCCCACCGAGGTTAACCCAACCTGCCCCAGGGTGCTCGGAGGACTGTCTGAAAACTCTCAAAAGCAACTAGACTCCCAGCGGGGCTGGGCCATGAGCCTGGTCACTATGGTCTACCCAGCTGCCCCAGGGAACCACCTCTACCCAAGCCTCCTTTCATGACCCTTGACTTCCATTCACTGTAACCCAGGAAACCTTCATGGTCTCTCCCCCAACAACTCTACCTTTGCATGTATTTGTTTCTTTGATACTATTGATTAGAGGATAAAATATTTAAATGAAATTATATTCATCCTCTTGTGTGTGTGTGTGTGTATATATATATATATATATATATATATATATATATATATATATATATATATATATATACTCAGACAGGAGAGCTATGTGTAGGGGGCAGAGGTAGCCAGAAAAATATTGTGGAGCTTGAACTTGAACTCAACTGGACATCGGCGCGTGGACGAGAGGAGAGGAACCAACATTAATGTACTTTCTACACAAGCACTGTCCTTACATTGGCTCATTTAATCCCTCACGACACCTGTGGTAGAAGCCCTGTTCTCCCTGTGCCCACAAGGAAGCTGAGTTTCAAGCAGTTTAAATAATTGACCTAAGTCCGCATTGCTAAGTGTCAAGCTGAGATTCAAACCCAGATCTCGCTTCCGTTTCATCCTGCCTCAGGTTGGTAGAAAGCACCTAGAAGAGCATTCTAGAAAGAGCTAGAAAGAGCATTCTAGAAAGAGCTCTAGAAGAGCATTCTGTTTGAGGGAGCAGGAGGTGTGAGGATCGGAGGCTGGAATGAGCAGGATGCCTGTGAAAATGAGCGACTAAATCATCAGGTAGCAAGCCTTCCAGCTACTGAGGAACAGAGGGTGGGACTTCCCAGGCAGTTCCGCCCACTGCCAAGGATTGCAACAGGGGAGGGTGGGGGTAAGGGCTCTGAGGTTCCTGGAAGGTGACCGAAGCCAAAGCCCACAAGGCTGGCACTGTGCCCTTTATGTGGTTAAAACTGGCTCCGCCCAATGGTGCCGGGATGGGAGAGACCTGGCTTAGGGGCTCCTGGAAGTTTAGCCACTGTCTCCCCTCCACCCACTGCTGCATCCTAGTCCCAATTCTCTCTCAGCATCAGGCTGCCTGTTGGCTTCGGTTCTGTCCCAAGTGTTCTACCAGAGTCTGAGCTTCAGATAGACTTCTCGGTTCCTCGACCCCGAGACACTCTGGCCTCCAGGCTTCTAAGCTTTCGTCTCTTAATAATGATAGCCTCACATTCATATTGATCTCAGTTTCTCTTCCCAGCAAGTCCACTAAAGAGGTACGATCATCATTTCCTTCATTTTTCGGGTAAGGAAACAAAGCTCAGAAAGGTTGGGTTGCCCTAAGCCACAGAACCAGTAATGTGGGGACTCAAGTTCAGGTCTTAAGATTCAAGATCTATCCCTCCCTCATTCTACAACATAGGACTCGGCCTTTCTCTCTCTTGGTTTAGAATTAAGGCTCAAGGGTTGTTTCTCTTGGACACTTATGAACTCATCTATCTACCTTCATCCATTTGAGGTTTGGTGCCCTGGCTCCACTAGCAGGCCAGAACTCTTTTTTTATTTTTTATTTGTTCTTTACTATTTATTTATTTATGCATACAGAGCTGGGGTGTAGGCCAGAGGTATGGGGGTGAGAGGCTTCACCAGAGATAGAGCGGGGACCAGAACAGGCAGACTGACAAAATACACTGCTGAGGGGAGCAGCAGGGAGACAGGAGAGGTCTGCTGCACCATGTGGGTAGCTCCCTGGCCTGGGATTGAACTCGCACCACAGTGGCTGCAGGATAGCTTCATAGTGCTGAAACTCAACCCTTTGTGCCACCAGGGAGGCCTGGAGGTCATAACTCTTAAGGTCTCAGTCCTATGCTGGAACCTTGAGAGCCCCAAACTCTTTCAACTGAAAGTGGGGTCAGTTCCTCTCAACTCCTGGGTTAATCCTCTAAGATTTCTTATCAATGCAAAGGAACCTCCTCAAAGATTTCATATATTATCCTTATGTGAACTAGAACATAAGGAAAAACCAGAGGGTGGCTTAGAAGGTCTGGCAACACCATCTGGCCTCAGTTTATATCTCCCCCCCTTTACTTTAGTGAGAGGGGCCTCACTCTTCCCTGGTCCCAGACTCCTTCCACCACCTCCCCCAGTCATCAGGGTAACCGCCAGGCTCTGCTGCCTAGGATAACGCCCAGCCCTCCCCTTGCCCCCTGTGGCTGCCTCCCCTTTCCGTCTGTTGAGAGAGGAAGCCAGGGGGTGGCGGGTGCAGCCCTGCAGGGCACTGATAAAGGGCCAGCCCTGCCCCCGCCCTCTGGGGCCACTGCGGTCAGAGCAGCAGGCCAGCCGGCATGGCAGCCCTCTGGGACCCATGGGCCTCCCCTGGTCCCACCTCTACCGCCCTGCCCTTCTCGGGAACTGGTTGCATAACCCGGTGGAGTGTTTGGCAACACTGCTTGTGGCTTGACCTGATGCTGGTGTTAGTGTGCACGCGCATTGGGATGTGGGTGGGGGTGGGTTGACTAGGGGTGACAATAAGTCAGCCTTCTGGAGATGGGTAAGCAGCATGGATGGAGAATGGTGTAACAGCAAAGATATGTGGCCACATTTCCCCCCATATTCTGACTCTACTACCTTGGCTGAAGTGGGAGAATCTTCTTTGGGATAGGAAAATCCTAGGTGTCCTGCCTTGCCAAGCCACAGGTACTGACCAACCCATTCAGGCTCCCAAGTCCCTGTTTTTTTTTTTTTTTTTTTTTTTTTAAGATTTATTTTGTTTATACAAGAAATGGGTACAGGCCACAGGTGCAGGAGAGTGAAAAAATTCACCAGAGACAGAGCGGGGAGCAGAACAGGTAGATGGACTGAAAACACTGCTGAGGGGAGCAGCGGGCAAGACAGGAGAGGTCTGCGGTGCCGTGTGGGCAGCTCCCTGGCAGGCCAAGAATTGAACCAGCACTGCAGAGGCTGGTGACAGCTTCACAGCACTGTGCTCAACCCACTGCACCACCAGGGAGGTCCTCCCAATCCCCTGTTAATGGTAAATCAAACAAAAGAGACTAAGTAAAGTGGGAAGGTGTGGTCTGCTGACATCAGGAATCTGAGAGGAGTGGTGGAAAGGAACCATTATCTCCCCTGAGGGCAGAAAGGGTCTTTGGAAGCTGGACACAAGCTGGAAACCCAAGTAACCAGCCTATTCCTGCAGGGTGGGGTTGGGGGTGAAATAGGATTGACACCTCCACCTGGCCAGTCACCTAAGTGACGGCTCTCTGTTCATTTAGCTCAGCATACCTGATCCTGTCTGCCCCCCTAAGTAAGTAGTAAATGCTGGGCCTCCCCGGTGGCGCAGCGGTTGAGCGCTGGGTTGCAAGGCTGCCCGCGGCCTCTGCGGCGCCGGTTCGATTCCCGGCTGCTCCCCGGCCACCAGAGGAGGGTCCCACATGGCGCGCAGACCTCTCCTACCAGAGGAGGGTCCCACATGGCGCGCAGACCTCTCCTGCCGCGCCCGCTGCTCCCCTCAGCATTGTACCTCGGTCCTTCTGCCTGCTCTGCTCCCTGCTCTGGCTCTGGTGAATTCTCTCACCCTCCCGCGCTTCTGACTGTACCCAGTGCATGTATAAAACAAAACAAACGAACAAACAAATAAATAAATAAATAAAACATGCCTCTATAAAAGAAAAAAAAAAAAGTAGTAAATGCTTCAAATGCTTCTATGAACTCCTGTTGCTTAGAGGGTGAAACACCCTCCACCCCCCAGCTCCCCCCATCAAGACACCTTACAATCCAGCCCCAGCCAGACGCCTCAGGCTTATTTTCTACTTCCTGACCCACCCCCATTCTCAAAATCTACTTCTAAGCTAAAACTATTCACTGCTGTGTTGTGCCTCTGTGCCTACACATCTTGGCTTGGAATACTCCTCCCCTTCTCTGTCCTGCGAACTCCTACTCATTCTCCACAACCCAGCTGGATTCGCCTCTGTGATATGACACATGAAGCCTTCCATGAATTTCACCAGGCAGAAATTCTACTCCACAGCACCATATAGACCTTTATTAATGTGATTCCCCTACTAGGCTCTGAGTGAGGACATACACGATGTCTATTTATTTCTCTTTGCGTTCCTGGAGTGTAAGACATATAGATATTTAAAACATATTTGCTGAATGAATGAATGATGAGGCTTGTAGTATCCATAATTGTATTTACAATACCATAAACACTGTCCTGCATTGATTGTTTTCATTCAGTAAATGTTTGTGGACTTGCTGTAACCTGATATCATTAGACTATCGCCACCCCTCATCCCTCAACCCCTCGCTATGCAAGTGAGAGAGCTATATCTGAATGATATCTGAATGTCCCGTACATGACCTAGATTCATGTCCAGGTCATGAAGAGATTAAGAACCCACTAGTGACATGTAATGCAGCTGTGGGTCACCTCCTGGATGGAACTCAAAACATTTAACTTTGGGTTTGGCATGGGTGGTGATCAATTCCATATACAGGCGCCAAGCTCCTGTCATACCACAGAGCCTCTCGAGTTGCTTGGTGTGTTGATGAGTTGTGGGGGTCCCCAGGAAGAACTGGGGTGGCTGATGTGGTGGTGTCATTGTGAAAAACACTTGGAAGACTCTTCACAGCTACTCTTTATCAACTGGGCAGAACATTTTCATTTAATTTTAATGGTGAACACAGTCCTGTTAGAGAGTGCTTGCTGAATGCCAGCCAGCCTTGGGGTGCCACCTATCTGCCTCCCTAGGGTCTTTGTTGCCAGTTAAACTTGAACACCATAAAAAAGAAAAAAAAAGTAGGCTGCAGTTGTAAGGATTGAAGTTAGACATAGGAAGGACTGTCCTAAGAGCTGAAAATTGCTAAAGCCAGTCTCTGCAGAGAGATCTATTTGGCCTGAGGCTTGGGTTATGTGTTGGAGGCAAAGGGATGAATGAGTGACTTCTGGGTTACTTATTGGCCTGACAAAGAGCTGCTGGGAGGTACTGGGGAGTGAAACTGATCTCTTACACATGGGTCCTGGCCTGCCCAAGATATGTGGCTGCCATGTGGTTGGGGTGCCTTGCCTGAAAGGCAGACAGAGGGCACCAGGATCTCCTTTAAGGGAGGTGAATAATGTCCCTGCTGCCCCCCCCCACCTTATAACTGACAACAAGCCTGGCCAAGAAAGAGGCCTTTGTCCTAGGACATCTGAAGCTGCAGGGGGAGGGGATAAGGCTATAGGTGAAAGGACACATCAAAGCCTTGGGGCTGCACCTCCCCAAAATAGCTCCTGTACCTTTTCCCCAGAACCTAGCTTCTCCTTAAAGAAAAACAGAGCCCCAAATGTCCTCCTGTCCTGGGGTTCCACATATCTAGTCCTTACCGTTAGCTGCCCCCCACCTTGCTGTGACTCAGTTTCCCTGTCCCTAAGCAAGTCAAGGGGGCAGAGGGAAAGAGATTGCAACCTGTGTCAAGTTTAGAGGTGACTGCTGGTGGGACATCAGATCGGAACTCATCCTGTGCCTGGGAGAAGCGCCACCGGCTGGACTCCTGGGCTGAAAAGGCGGGTTGGGAGAGGCTGGGAGCCTGGTGTGCCCCCGCGGGCCCGGGAGCAAGGTGGGGGCGGGGTGTGGGCAGAAACCACACCGGGCTCAAGTTTCCTCTCTTGGCCAGAGGGGGCAGGAGGAGAGGAGGGCCGCGGGGAAAGGGGAGGGTTGGAGGAAGGACGGAGAGCTCAGGCCGAGGGCTTCAGAGAGAAGGCTGGTGCGCCTGCCTGCCCAGAGCTCCCCACGCTCAGCCAGAGCCTCCACACTCAGCGCTCAGCTATGGCCTCAGGGTGGGGCCCAGCGCTCCCCAGTTCTGAGAGGTAGCAGAGCTCCTCATCCAGGAGGTGTCAGCTCAGGCCCAGCCTCCTCAGAGACAGCATTGAAGCGTCATCTCTCTCCTCACCCTGCCTGGACCCTGCCACAGGTGCCTGGGGTGGGGGTTGGAAAAGGGACTCCTGTGGGATCTGGGGGGCCAGTTGGGGAGGTGAAAGAGGGCGAGGAGGAAAATAACCAACTTTCGGCAGAGCCCTAGCTTAGATCTCAGGCCTTGCTCCTGGTTTAGGAATTTGACATCTTTGGAGATTCCTCTGGGAGAAGATCGAGATGGTTTCTCGAGCCCTCTGGGATTCTTGGTATGAGAAACTGTGGATGGGGACCAGTCAGTGGTCCCCTGAGATGTGGGGAAGTGACCTTGAGTGACCCCATAACAGGCTGGCTGCCTTGGGAGAGCCAGTAGACTCTCAGGTATATGGTGCCACCCTCCCGCTATTCCACTCCATCCTGCTGCCCTGTCCAGCCAGCGGGGACACTGGGGCAAGCCGAGGAACTGGAGACACTGGATGCCTGGGTTGCTGAGAAGGATGGGGCGGGAAGGGGAGGTGTGCTGAGTTCTTGCCTCCCTTTGCCCCTGCTCAGGGTCTGGAGCTGTGAGATCAGCTGGACCTGGAAGGGAGAGGAAGGCATCCCACCCCCAGTGTAGCTCCTTCCCTTGAGACATCTTGGCAGCTTGGGAGGTAGGAGCCTAGGGATCAGTGGAGAAGAGACGAGGCATCATTCTGCCGGGGCTGGGACTCTAATCATTGGCCTCCAAAGGACTGGATTTTGGGTCTTGGGAGCCAATAGCAGAAACTTGTCCCCCTGCCCTTGTTCTTATGCACCTAAGTCATGTATCGTCCCAGGGACTACTGGATCTCACTCTGATCAAATCTGTCCCCACCCTTTTCTTCCATTCTGTTTGTTTCTGTCTCGCCGCTGTATTACTCGGCCTCTTTGGGGATCCTTCCTAATCTTTCCAAAGAGTTTGCTCACCTGCATACCCTAAATTTCACTGATCTTTCCCCATCCTTTCTCTGCCTCTCATTGACACCAGAGTGTTAGAATGAGCCTCAGAACATGGTCCCTGAGGCTCTTGTCTCAGTGTTTAGAGACTTAGGACATCAATTGAGGCATCGCCCCAGGACACACCCCCCCCCCAAAGGGTCCCCATCCAGCATCCTTATGCCACGGGATACTCTCTGGGAGTACTCAGGGATTGGTCTAGCATCTTTCTGGGTACAACCATCAGGATGAGAGTTAAGGAGTGTGGGTTATAGTCCCTGGAGCCAGCTCAAGCCCTACCTGTTATGCAATGTTGGAGAGCAAGAAGGTGTGTGACCTCCAAGTGCAGAGTAAGATGGAACTGGTTAGAAGTCAAGGGAAATGCGAATCCACTGCACCTTCCAAGTATCTGCACCCTCCATGATGTTCTATTTGATCCAGCATTGGCTGTATTCTCCCCCCGACCTAGACCACTGACTGCTCAGCTCATCCTCAGAAAGGTAGCTCCTACATCTGGTGTACAGACCACTCCCCACCCTCAAGTTTCGGGGGGAAAAAATACTCTCCTTTTGGTCTAGTACCAGCTTGTCACTGCACCAGAGAGCTGGTGGGAGCGGGCCCCAGAGTTTCTCCTAAACTCCCTCTTCCTCAACCTCCTGCCTCCTCCAGCTCCGTTCTGAATGTTCATTTTCCTGTCCCAGGGTGACAGGGAAGTTGAGCTCCTGATCTCCATGAGAAAGGGATGATATTTGGTCTCCTGCTGGGGTAGTCTTGTATTCAGTCTTGCCTGGGTTTGAAGCTAGCAGAAACCTGGAGATTGTTTGTTGGGCTCCTTTCTGGCTTTGTCCTCTTCCTGTAAATCCACACAGCTGGACAGTTCAGCATTTCTCAAAGCACAATGGGGCACTGGCATCAGAAATGCCGGGGAGCTTGTTAAAATACTGATTGCTGGGCACCACGCATGTGAGCTCCATTCAGCAGGCCTAGGGTGGCTTTTAGGGTCCTGTGTCTTTACGAGTCCCCTGGGTGAACGTGGCACACAGTTCAATGTGACTGCCCGGGCCAGGTGAGTTTGCTGCCTCTTACAGCAACGAGCTTCTCCAGCTCAGTCTCCATGTAATGCAAAAGACTGCACGTGACGCTGCGTGCCCAAGGACACGCGTGCAGGCCACAGACCCTCGTCTCCGCCTCCTAGGGCAGCATCTTGTACTGCGCCTGAGAGTCAGATCCGGGAAGATATATGGAGGGACAAAGGGCGGGGGATACAAAGAACTATGAGGCAAGAGTCATGGTCCCTGCCCCCTAAACCCCTTCTCCATTCACTTTGCCTTTGGGCAATTTCCGCCAGAACCTGGGTGGGGGAGTACGCAGGGGTTCCGGTGTTGAAATGGCATCCTGGACAGACATAAACACCCCACCCACTCTGCCCAGTGGCCAAGGGCCTGGGCCTGCACCAACTCCCGGCTCGATGGCAACAGAACAAAGGGGTGGGGGCAGGGGCTGGGGAGATTCTCCTTCAAAAGGATGATGGCAGTTCTCATAGTTTCATGGTAAGTCCAAGAGCGGATTCCATATTAACTGGCTGTGATAGACCATCCTTGTGGGATCTAAGGTCATGAAATAGGTCCTGTAGGTTTCCCTCCCCCCCAGCATGCCTGCTGCGACTGAGAGGGCGAGGTGGGGGGTGGGGGGCTTTTGGGGAGGAGGACCCAAGTGAGGTGTCTTGTCGTAAGAGATCAGGAGGCCCCTGACAAATCTATTGGGAATGTCTTGCCCAGCGCAGGGGGAAAGAGGAATGGAGTAGAGAGGAATGGATGGGAGGGGACAGGATGAGGAGAGGGACTGGCAAGCGGAGATGAAGACAGGGATGAGCGTTGATGAGAATATTAAACTGGGGGACAAAAGGGACCTCTGAGTTCAACGTGTTCAACTCTCTGGTTTTACAAACGAGGAAACAGAGACTCAGAAGTGAGACAGTTGCCCATTGTCACACTAGTGCATGGTGTCGGTCTGCAGCCAGGGGCCAGAAGGGCGATGGAGGGGCGTGTGTACGCAGGACTCTACAGAGATATTCCCCAGAAGAGAAAAGAGACTGAGAGCCCACAGAAAGAAGTGGCTGACGAGGCTGCCAACGGAGGCTGGGAGTGCGGAGGCAGGAATGATGCAGGCGGGAGCCTGGAAGATGGTATCGGCAGCAGAATCAGTCAGTAGAGGTTCCAGACCTGACCCCGCTATCTACCAGCGTGGCTCTCAATTTCTGAATGGACCTTCTAGAATCTTTTCAAAAAGCAATCTCATAAAAAAGCAAATACTTGACAAATACTTAAGAAGTCTTTGCTGTGGCTGTTTTATTACCTTAGGAACCGCCCCCGCCCCCCGCTGTGTGGGCTAGGGTATGGCCAAGCTGACCTGCCCAGACACAGGGCAGAGGTACAGTGTGTGAAGAGACCATTCCTTCTCTGCTGCCTGCCGCTGATAAACCTCTTATCTGAGCCGGGCAGGGGCGCTAGGGCCAGGACAGGAGGAGCGGCAGGGCTGCTATCAACCACCAGGCCGGGGCCATATCTTGGAGAAGGGGAGGGGCTGTCTGCTTGGGTTCTTCCCATAACATACTCCTTGGGGATCCCCAAGCACTCACTCTCCTCTTGGAAGAAAAGACTGAACTAAAATTGAGGACAGAGAAAGAAGGCAGGAACGAACCCTGAGATTGCCTGAGAAAATGGGGGGCTCCATACCCAGATGTGACAGATGCCATTGCCCTGGCCAGTGCTACAGTTCTGGGGAATAAGAAGTAAGAGAAAGAGCAGCCATCTTGTCAAAAAAAAGAGAGGCGAAGACCTACGGAGCAACCTAGGCGCTGACATAGCAGGGCGGCACAGCTTGCATGGCAGAAAGACTTTCTAGCTGAAGGCATTGGTGGATGAGTCCAGCAGGAGGGAGGGGTTGGGGTGTAGCCGGAGGGAGCTTGTCCATGGAGGCAGGGCAAAATCCCTGACCCCCACCTAGCAGGAGAGGCACTAACCCCCATTTCTTCTCAATACAGGTTGCTGGGGCCATTTGGGTTTGGGGGATCCTAGACCAGGCTCTGGCCCAGTAGGATGCCCCCGTGTCCTCCCCAGCAGAGCAGGAACAGGGTGACACAACTGCCTGCTCTGGAGCTGGGGGAGATGGAACTGACCTGGCAAGAGATCATGTCCATCACTGAGCTGCAGGTGAGTGGGGCTGCGGGGAAGGAAGAGGGGAGTCCGGCAGGGATGGCGCCAGGAGGCTGCAGCAAGCGGAGCTCAGGGTCTCGAGCTGGAAATAACCCAGGGGTTGGAAAAGGAAGGGTTGGAGCAGGAGGACCGTGGGGTGGAAGACCAGAACATGGACGGGGCGGGAGGAGCAGGGGCTAGGGGTGATGGGGAAAGAAGGATCCGATCCAATTAGGGGCTAAGCCTTCTCAGCAGCCACTCTGCTCACCCCTCTTTATCCTACCTCCTGCTCCCCTTCCCTTTCTCACCTTCTGACTTCCCTCTCCTCCAGCCCTGCCCGTCTTCTTCCTCGCTTCCTCCCCCTGCCCGAAGCAGCTGGGCCCCTCTCCCCCAGGTAGCAGAGTAGTAGTTCAGGGGCCTCAGGAAAGGGGGGTCAGACTATGGCAGGGTCCTCTCCTCCTGCTAGCTGGACAAAGGGGTGTCTGTTGGCCTAACAATGACGCCTTTGTCTCCAGCTGGGCTGGAGCAGGGTGGCTCCCCAATGTGGGTTGGGGGCCTGGTTTTCAGCGTGTTCTGTCCTCCGCACCTGGGCAGGGACAGAGGGGCTGGAGAGGAGAGGGGACAGCGTGTGCCGGCTCTCCAAAGAGCCTCCGTTCCCAGACCTGGGTCTGTGTCACTGGCCCCCTTTTCTCCCCTGCACCAGGCCTGGGCCCTGGGGATCTGCCCCAGCCCTCCTCCCACACAACAGCTCCCTCTGCTGGGGACCCAGGGCATAACCAGGGTCTGAACTTGACCCTTTAACCCTGGATAACTGCTGAGGAAAAGGGTTCAGGAGTGTCTTCGATAACCTCTCCTTTTCTTCCTGAAGGAAATAAAGAAACCCAGTACGAACTTCCTTCAGGAGGAGAGAGTCCATAATGTTTCTGGTCTGCCCTAGTGACTGACATCCATTTCTGTGTCAGCTTTTTTTTTTTTTTTAAAGATTTATTTATTTATTTATACAAGTATTGGGGTACAGGCCAGATGTGCGGGAGGGTGAGAGAATTCACCAGAGACAGAGTGGGGAGCAGAACAGGCAGAAGGACCGAAGTACACTGCTGAGGGGAGCAGCGGGCGCGACAGGAGAGGTCTGCGCGCCATGTGGGACCCTCACCGGGAGGCGGCTATCGAACCTGTGCTGCAGAGGCTGCGGACAGCTTCACAGCACTGCACTCAACCACCTGCACCACCAGGGGAGGCCCCCCTTTTTTTTTTTTTTTAAAGATTTATTTATGCATACAAGAACTGGGGGACAGGCCAGAGGGGTGTGTGTGTGTGTGGGTGGGTGGGTGAGAGGATTCACCAGAAACAGAGCAGGGAACAGAACAGGCAGACTGACAAAATACACTGCTGAGGGGAGCAGCAGGCAAGATAGGAGAGGTCTGCTGTGCCATGTGGGTAGCTCCCTGGCTGGCCAGGGATCGAACTCGTGCTGAAGAGGCTGCGAATAGCTTCACAGTGCTGTGCTTAACCCATTGCACCACCAGGGAGGCCCCTGTTTCAGCTGCTTTTTCTTTTTTTTCTTTCTTTTTGTGGGACCCTCGCGGTGGCTGGGGATCGAACTAGCGCTGCAGAGGCCATGGGCAGCCTCACAACCCGGCGCTCAACCGCTGCACCACCAGGGGAGGCCCTCTTTTTTTTTTTAAAGATTTATTTATTTATACAAGAACTGGGGTACAGGCCAGAGGCGTGGAAGGGCGAGAGAATTCACCAGAGACAGAGTGGGGAGCAGAACAGGCAGACAACTGAAAACACTGCTGAGGGGAGCAGCGGGCGAGATAGGAGAGGTCTGCTGTGCCATGTGGGTAGCTCCCTGGCTGGCCGGGGATCAAACTCGTGCTGCAGAGGCTGTGAATAGCTTCATAGTGCTTTGCTTAACCCCTTGCACCACCAGGGAGGCCCCTGTTTCAGCTGCTTTTTCTTTTCTTTTTTTTTTTTTTAAAGATTTATTTATTTATTTATACAAGAACTGGGGTACAGGCCAGAGGCATGGAAGGGCGAGAGAATTCACCAGAGACAGAGCGGGGAGCAGAACAGGCAGACGATCGAAAACACTGCCGAGGGGAGCAGCGGGCGAGACAGGAGAGGTCTGCCACGCCTCAGCTGCTTTTTTCTTAGACTAGCTGCATCACAATTTTGCAAGAAACTTCTCATGATCTTCAGCACTTTTCTGTTCCCTTGTTACTATCTCACCGGGTCTTTCAGAAGGACCCAGCTTGGTCCTGAGAGAGAGATGGCTCCTTTTTCTCAGCCTGTCTCCAAACCTTTGTCTTTTTCTTGCAGGGCCTAAATGCTCCAAGTGAGCCATCGTTTGAGCCTCCAGCCCCAACTCCATACACTGGACCCCCACTGCCTCCAACTTACTGTCCCTGCTCTATCCACCCTGACGCTGGCTTCCCGCTTCCTCCACCACCTTATGAGCTCCCAGCACCCACGTCTCATGTCCCTGATCCCCCATACTCTTACGGCAACATGGCCATTCCAGTTTCCAAGCCACTGACGCTCTCGGGCCTGCTCAATGAACCTCTCCCAGACCCCTTGCCCTTCTTGGACATTGGGCTGTCAGCGGCGCCACCACCTAAGCCCCAAGAAGACCCAGAATCTGACTCAGGATTATCCCTCAATTATAGTGATGCTGAATCTCTTGAGCTGGAGGGGACAGAGGCTGGTCGGCGGCGTAGCGACTATGTAGAGATGTACCCAGTGGAGTACCCCTACTCACTTATGCACAACTCCTTGGCCCACCCCAACTATGCCTTGCCACCCGCTGATGCCCCCTTAGCCTTAGATCCCCCCTCGGGCACTGTGCGGGCCAAGCCCCCTGCACGAGGGGAGGCAGGGAGTCGCGATGAGCGGCGGGCCCTGGCCATGAAGATCCCTTTCCCTACGGACAAGATCGTCAACTTGCCGGTAGATGACTTTAATGAGCTACTGGCAAGGTACCCGCTGACAGAGAGCCAGCTGGCACTAGTCCGGGACATCCGACGCAGGGGCAAGAACAAGGTAGCCGCCCAGAACTGTCGCAAGAGGAAGCTGGAGACCATCGTGCAGCTGGAGCGGGAGCTGGAGCGCCTGGGCAGTGAGAGGGAGCGGCTTCTCCGAGCCCGAGGGGAGGCCGACAGGACCCTGGAGGTCATGCGCCAGCAGCTGACTGAGCTATACAGTGACATTTTCCAGCACCTGCGGGATGAAGCAGGCAACAGCTACTCCCCCGAGGAGTATGCGCTGCACCAGGCTGCAGATGGGGCCATCTTCCTGGTGCCCCGGGGGACCAAAATGGAGGCCACAGACTGAGCTGGTCCGGGGTGGGGTGGGCTGGTGATGGAGATTTCCTTCATTCCCTCTGATGAAGGTGCTCTCCACCCAAGACGCAGCGAGAGCTGAGTTCTTTAGACTAAATGGGGACATTGGTAACACCTGGCGGTTGGTGGAAGGGCCAAGCTTTATTTGACTTGTCTGGAAGCAAGGATGTGAGGGGAGGGCTGGGATCTCTCTTCCGATTCAGCTTCCCTGTCTCCAACCTGCACCTTTTGTTTGAGCTTTGGTATATAAAGCGTTCTACAGAAACAGTATTCCACTGTATCTTTGTTTTCGAGGGTGGAAGCTGAGCAATCCTGAGTTCAATAACCTATTGGCGGTGGGGAGGAAACCCTGCCAAGTTCATTTCTTTCCCAAATGAGGTACGCAGAAAATTTGGGCCCCTGCAGTGTGATCTGCTGCTCCCATCCCACTTTTCAAACATGGATAATCAATCTGAGGAACCCCACTCTGTTGTGAGAGGTTCCTATTTATAGAGCTGGGAGAGTCGCCCAAGCAGGTAGACCCTCTATGAGGTTCAGGCCTCTCCTCTGTCCATGGAGCACAGAATACCCACTGGCCTCCTGTTTCAGCCACCCCAAAAGGATTCCCTGGGTCCTGATGTGCCAGAGCTTGCAGAAGACTGAACGAGGTGCTCTTAATTGGAATGAGACATTTTGGACACTTGTTTCCGAAGTTTCATATCCAGGTCTTAGTAAAACCTGCTTCACAGTGGAGTGCAATATACAAAATCTCTCTCCCACCCCGGGCTGTTAGGCAAACATTACCCAATTCTTGCTTTATATACCCCCTTCTTCAGATTGTTTTAAGATCTAGGACCTTTTAAAAGATTTTTATTTATGCATACAAAAACTGGGGTGTAGGCCAGAGGTGCGGTGGGGGGCTGGGTGAAAGGATTCATCAGAAACGGATGAGGGGATTGAACTTATGTTCCAGTGGCTGGCAATAGCTTGATAGTGCTGTCTTTAACCCCTGCGCCACCAGGAAGGCCCTGTAATCTACATTTTTTTACCTGTCACATCTAATAATTTTTAAAATAAATTTTTTTACATCATAGTTCATTTTTATACAATATATGCTTCACCACCCCCCACCCCCGTGTAGTGTCCATAGTTTCCTTCCCCAATGCACCCGTGCACCATCACCTCAGTCCCCTGTGCTCCTGTCTCCCTCCTCCTCCCCTGCAGGATGTCTCTGATTTATAACTGGTCCTCAAAGCTGTAAGCACTGTAAATAAAGTGAGGAGACAATGGTCTGCTCTCTTGAAGGTGCACAGCAACAGGAAGGACATCAACCCACCGAGACAAAAAGGTAGTACAACATGGCTTCAGAGTGACTGCATTGTGATCCAAAAACTTAAATAATTTGCTCAAGGATTAAATATTGCTTCTGTAACTTTCAGATTACCTTTGAAGATTTTTAAAAAATTATTTTCATCCATACAAGAGCTGGGGTACAGGCCAGACGTGTAGGCATGGGGTGGTGGTGGTGAGAGGATCCACCATAGACAGAGTGGGGAAACAGAACAGGCAGACTGACTGAAGTACACTGCTGAGGGGAACAGCGGGCAAAGCAGGAGGGGTCTGCTGCGCCCTGTGGGTTGCTCCCTGGCCGGGGGATCAAACTCATGCATGCTGTGGCTGCTGTTAGCTTCATAGGTTGTGTCTTAACCCCTTGTGCAACCTGGGAGGCCCCCAGACTCATTACCCTTTGAAAGGCTAAGACTTCCATCCTTTACACTGTTAATCTTAACTCTCACTTGAGACTTTTTTGAAGTCTGAGGAAGCTGGCCAATAAATACAACTTGTTTGGCAATGATGAGATTCATTACCCCTGCAGAGCTCCCAGCAGATAAACATAGCTCTGAGAAGTGACTCACTGAGCTCAATGGCAGCAGTTGGCTTTTACAACTTTATCTCCTCCTGCCAGGGGAGTTACAAAAAGGACATATTCAAGGGAAGCAATGACAAACCACTTACTTCTAAGTGGGTCAAACCATTCCTGCAGCGAGCCATTTATTTCACTTAAAACCATGACACCGAGTAACTTTAATATAGTAAAGAATACAGCACTATCTTTGTATGATATAATCCTTCCTCCGTATCCCAAATTTCAACATTTTAAGCAGTTAATATTGTTGCAGTTTTCTTCAACCATGAGCTTTAAAAAAAGTACTACCTTCTATATAAGCCCTGAGATTAGATGGATCCAGGACAGCATTGGCAAGGAAGCTTTGATTCTGCTACAAATCTTTCTGGCCTGGGGCCTCCCTGGTGGCACAAGGGGTTAAGCCTCAGCACTATGAAGCTATTGGCAGTCACTGCAGCAGAGTTTGATCCCTGGCCAGGGAGCTACCCATATGGCGCAGCAGACCTGTCTCGCCCGCTGCTCCCCTCAGCAGTGTATTTTAATCAATCCGCCTGTTCTGCTCCCCAATTGCTGTGAGAATCCTCACACTCCCCTCCCCCTGCACTTCTTGCCTTTACCTCAGCTCTTGTATGCATAAATAAATCTTCAAAAAAAAAAAATCATTATGTGCCCATAGTCAAACCTGAAAAATGGTAAACAAATATACAACAAAATCAAGAGACAAAAAAGACCCAAGAAACAGAAATAAAGTACTTTATTTAAAAAATAATCCATTCATATAACTGAATGATTTGAGCTGCACAGCAGCTAATGACAACTGCATGGCAGTGACAATGAAGTGCCCAAAGGCTGAGTAAAGGTTGTCCTCATTAGGATATTCCTGCAAAGAGAGAAAGTTTATGAAGTACTTGTAAGCAGTGAACGACTCTACAGTTACATCCATTCTCTTTTACGAGGAACCCAGCTGCTTTATGGTTCAGAACAGACTCGAGAGCTCATTTTTGGTTCTGAGGCACAGCTTGTCATCCTCACTTTCAGAACACCAAGCGCTGTTGCTTTATATAAAAACTTACCTTTTAAGACATCAACTTTTGACAGGTGAGTTTCAGTTTAAGAGAGCAGATTAGCCTGTAGTAGCAGACTCCTCCCTAGAAAAGCAAAGAACCTTTAGAACTAGCTTTTCTCTGAGTCCAAGTCCCATTTCTGGCTAAGGCCCCCACCCCCACCCTACTAATGGTCCACCCAGCCTCCCTCCCACCATCATTTTGGGGAAGATTCTATTGCATTACTTTGAGCCATTGTTTTAAAGAAATGGGTCAAAGGAAAATAGTAAATAAAAATTAAAGGGCAAAAATATATTATCACAGCATAAAGAGCTCACTTCCTTCAATTGGGAGCGACCAAAACTAGGGTATTAATTTAAAATAGTTCATCTCCAGAAAAACAAGTTCAGCTTTACTGGACTAGTTTTTGGCTCAATTGATTAAGGAAAATATAACAAAACTGGACTTTAGATAACTATATGGGTGTAAGTAAAATCTGTTCTTACCTACCAGCATAGCAATAAAACCTTTCCTCCTGGTTCTTACTGCTAGTCCTAAGAGTCAGGTGTGCCTTACTCTTGTCTGCCTCCTTCCTTGCGATGGTCACTGAAACTTCACTCCCTCCTAGCTTTCATGGAGGGTGCTGCTGGTGGCCTGCCCCTGGCTTATCTGTACTCCACATACCACAAGTGTCTACTCTCAGCTGTAGAGTGTCTGAGCTCGGAGCCATTCGCGCTAATGCTTGCTAGCAGTTCCTAGAAGCTGAACATCTCTCCTGGATCTTTAAAGGCATTGTCACGAATCCTGAGGTATCTGCAAACTCCCTCAATAGTTAAGATTCCACCTGCCATTGCAAACTCAGCCAGTATCAAACCCATGGAAACTACCATCCACACTTTCCCACCCCCTCCACCCCGCCCTCCCCCACCCCCCTTCCCTCCCCACACTTCCGTGATTAACACACCCACGGGATGGATTACACAGTCCTAGTGATCAAACAAATCTATGCTACTAGGTACAATGGCACTGAAATCGAGGGCACCAAAGGGAGGACTCAAAAGAACCTATATACAAATAACAATGATTGGATATTGCTGTTAAAAAGGTTTAGAAATCATTTTCTGTACAATTAACAGTTTAGGGTGGTTGTGTGATCTTGTGCCGTAATTTAAAGGAAAACTGCAGTTTAATACGAATGTAAACAAATAATGGCTCCTCACCACCTCCAGTCACACTATCCAAGCAGTGTGGTTACTCCACCACCTCTATGAAGACCCACCCCACCAGGATAAGGTAAAACTGCAGTTTTCCTTTAATGTGAACCTGTTTTTGTGATAAGAATAAAAAAATTCTTACTGGTACTGGTCAGTTTAAAAATGTCTCTCAAACACTTCTATCTGTGGACTTATGGGTGGCATTAGCCAGCAGCTGGTTTCTATTCTCTGGCAGAGTTTTGAACTTGAATTGTGATAGAAGCATTCAACATTATCAGGGGGGTAATGGGTGGGGAAAGTCCAAAGCTCTGCCAGTCCCAAATCCATACAGTTGTCATTCCATTCAAGATATTAAATCGTTTATTGATTACACATGATAATGGATGATACACAAGGTTCATTCCCATCTGTGATTTTATCTGGTACCATAATTCAATTTAGATATATTGCATAGGATGTGCCAACAATCATTAATAACCAAATAAACTCCATGACTTTGCTTGGGTGACCCTTTTAATGGTGAACTCCAAGTCACAACACAGTAACCGTCAGTTCAACTACACCAAGATTTCTGAGAACAATGGCTTCTCTGCCCAAGCAAGTTATAAATAAATTTCAAATGGAACCTGGCACCACCCTGAAGGAATTCTAACTTCACACTGTTGGGATAGTTTACCAAGATGGCTTCAGAGTAGACTAACTTTACACAGCACATTTAAAAAAAAGACACATTTATTCAGCGTCATGATCAGACTATTACATTTAGCAATCAACAGCATGGGTGCAAAAAAAAAAAAAAAATCTACATTAAAACCCTTTGTTGGAATGCTTTACACTTTCCACAGAACAGAAACTAAAATAACCTGTTATACAATTAGTCACAAATACAGTCCTCGAGATTTTTTTGCCCATACACATGAGTATTGTCTAAAACATGTCTTCTTTGTAGCAGCTAGGCCCTGCCACCACTGTGCTTGGCTGAGTTCACAAATCTGTTGTAACCTGTAGCTTCCCTGTCACTTCTCTGGCTCTCCTCTCCTGCTAAGCTTTGTTTCCTGTTGAACAATATGGAATAAAGTTGTTAATCTAAACATATTAAGACTCAAGGCTACAATCCAATAGCAAGTTTTGTTTCCCACAAATTTTGCTGATCTATTAACTTAATATCCACAATTTTTTTTTACTGCAATTATAATGTTAACTATGTTGCACTGCTCAGCTACATTAGGGTTACTGGGTTCATTAATAATTACAAAAAAATTAATTTTAAACACAAAAAGGTGTTCACTTACCTGGCAGTTAATTAAAACCTTCTGCCACTGCCATAGCTACTGCTGCTGCTGGAACCACCATAGCCACCTAAAATTAAAATTCATTCTTTTAAGCTTTGGAAGTAACGCTTTTGTATCTAGCATGATAGAATTCCAGTTTTGAACCATTAAGATTTTTTCAATTAGTTTTAAAATGTCAGCTTTTTAGTCATCTACATGTGTATCAGTTAGATTTCATGTATCAGTTGCTAGTAATATCTATAGTTCTAGAGATACTTGGGCCTCAAATACGACATATGGAAACTATACCTTGGTTTCGTGGTTTGGCGAAGTATTGGCCTCCACCACCATAGGGGCCAGAGCTTCTGCCTCCAAAGTTTCCTCCTTTCATGGGTCCAAAATTTGAAGATTGATTGTTGTAGTTGCCAAAATCATTGTAGCTTCCACCACCTCCAAAATTGCTTCCTGGAAAGACAAAGATAACCTTAAGTTGTTATTTGGGGAAGTGATTCTGAATGTATTTAGTGTTCAGAGTGAACAAAAAAAAGTTGTATTAATTATCTGCTTTTCCTCCCAAACTCTGGTGGCTCCAATTGTTTTCCTTACACTTCATCCTTTCTGGGCAAGAAATTCAGTTGAATCATCCAGCAGTTTAAAAAGTCACCATGGCCCAACACACATCTTCTACAGCCTTAACCCAGCCAGAAGCACTGCAAATACATGCTGCTTTCCTAGATACATCAACTAAGTGCCTAAGGTCCCAAAGGAGTTAAGATACTCAATCCTGCTGGCAGCTAACCTAATTCCAATTGAAGACACCACTATCCACTTATCTATTTGGGAGTGAGGCGGCCCCAGCTTAAAGCTAGGAGGAGGGAGCATGGAAGCCCACTGAAAAAATACCATGCAATGTGCCACACAATGCTTAAGATCATCAAATTCCCAGATAAGCCATCAACTTCACAAGACTAATCTAGCTATTGCACCAAGTACTTGGGTCACTGGATACCTACCACTACCACCGCCAAAGCCGCCTCCGCCTCCTCCGTTGTTATAGCTGTCATAGCTGCCACTCCCGCCATAGCCACTGCCCTGGTTTCCATAACCCTGTCCACCACTTCCATAGCCTCTGCTTCCTCCAGAGTAACCAGGGCCGCCTCCTCCATAACCACCTACAAGAATACAATTCTTCTCAATAAGACAAAGGTATTTAACAATCAAAATCTGTGCAAGCATAATGGCTAAAGGCCTGCTCACAGCATGCTTGTTATGGTCAGTGTTGAGCTTGTCATGCACTAGTTTTAGTCTCTACTAACCTATTCTAAAGGTTGCCAAAAGTTTCACTTATATACTGCTCAAAATTACTCACCATCATTACCAAATCCATTATAGCCATCCCCACTGCCACCATATCCACCACCACCACGGCTGCCACCAAAGCCACCTGGAAGAAAAGCAAGGCTTTTAAGTATGTTTGTAATACACAAATTATGTTTTTCTAAGTCAAAGTTTCAATAGGCAGCTCCTGGACTGCAAAACCGATTCGCATAACAAAGATATCAACTTCTGGTTGCTGATAAGTCAGAACCACATTTGGATAAAATGTAACAGGAAACGTTCTGGCAGTTACATACAGCTGTAAATTGCGGCCTTAAATTGCAACAAGCATTAGTCATCCGAGGGTAACTGATTACAAGTTTACTGTTAATTCTTTATGCAAACTACAACTACACATACCTCTACCACTGAAGTTTCCTCCACGACCAAAGTTGTCATTCCCACCAAAACCACCTCCACGACCACCACCAAAGTTTCCAGAACCGCTTCGACCTTAAAGAGATTAAATCAAAAAATGTCAAGCCATATTGGAATCTTTCAAAAATATCTTCAAAGTTCAATCAAGCAAAACCCTCACCTCTCTGGCTGGACGAAGCACTGGCCATCTCTTGCTTAGATAAGGCTTTCCTTACTTCACAGTTGTGGCCATTCACAGTATGGTATTTCTGAACTTGAAAGAGAACATGATCTCAGAGTTTAGAATGCAACAGGGATTTTGGGGCCCTTAGCAAATATCAATCATCTAATACTTACTGACAATTTTGTCTACAGAATCATGGTCATCAAAGGTTACAAAAGCAAAGCCTCTCTTCTTGCCACTGCCTCGATCAGTCATGATTTCAATCACTTCAATTTTCCCATACTGCTCAAAGTAATCTCTCAAGTGATGTTCTTCAGTGTCTTCCTTAATCCCACCAACAAAAATCTTTTTCACAGTTAAGTGGGCACCAGGTCTTTGAGAATCCTAGCAAGAAAAATTATTTTAGGAAAATTTATCTTCATATCAAAGTTTCTACCATCCCCATAAATGTAAAGTATCTTTGCACACTTGGGGGGAGGGGAATCACTTACTTCTCTTGACACAGCCCTCTTTGGTTCCACAACTCTTCCATCCACCTTGTGTGGCCTCGCATTCATGGCTGCATCCACCTCCTCCACCGTGGCATACGTGACAAACCCAAAGCCTCTGGATCGCTTGGTATTTGGATCTCTCATCACCTGAGACGTTAATTCATTTAGTACACCGTAAGACCCCCAAAACTAGTATCACTGCTCTCTGAATAAGGTTAATAGCAAATTTTATACGTCCTTCACACAAAATCCTCCAGGTTTCCTTCTGCAGATTTGCGAAGGAGCTTTTTAGTTAAGCAACTGTTTCCTCTGCCAAGTTCTCCCCAACTGCACCCTTATTTACAACCTCCATAAACATCCAGGCAAGTATAAGAGGCAGGCGAGCCCGGTAAGCCTACTACGCCTAACTTTTTCTGTCTCTTCCAACTCTTACCACACAGTCCGTGAGCGTTCCCCATTGCTCAAAATGGCTTCTCAGACTCTCATCGGTAGTTTCAAAGCTCAAACCTCCAATGAAGAGCTTCCGAAGCTGTTCCGGCTCCTTGGGAGACTGGGGGTTGGGGGAGAGAGAACGGTGAGTGAGGCCCTGACGCACAACACAGCCCAGTAAGAAGCCAAACCGGACTACAAAGCACCCCGTGCTTATTGTTCCTCTGGGCCGCAGGAAGCCACGTGCTGCTCCCCAGGCTCGCGGGCCCGAGCGGGGGCTGGGCGGAGCGCGCTCGGGCGCATGCGCCCCCCTCTCCCGCCGACGCAGGCGCAACAAAAGAACGGGGCGAGACGGGTGCGTTCCCCATAAAAGACTCCGGGCGCTCTTTACGCAAACCACCCCTTGAAACAAGGTCAGAAACAGATCCCCGAAGAGCCAAGCTCCGCCCGGAGGAGCACGTCCGGGTCGCCAACCGGGGCTGCGGGAGGGCGGCCTCATGGCGACGACGAGGACAAAATGGCGGCCTGCACTTCGGGAGGGGTAGGCCCGGCGGCGGCCGAGCCTCCGCCGAGGGGCCTGGCGCGCAGAGCCGAGGCGGGCCGCCCCCCGCCGGCTTCTGGAAGGGGCGCGGGCGGAAGCTGGCCGCGGAGCGCGTCTCACTCACCTCTGACTTCGACATGACGGCAGTGGCAGGGAGACAGCTGCGATGCTTCCTCGCCGGCGTCCACAGGCAGAAAGGAGCAAGCCCACGAGCGGGTCGGCCAGCCTACCTTCGGCCTCGCTTTTTTATCCCGCCTCCGCGCGCTCGGCATTGGCAGACTCCGCCCACGGCCCGCTCTGATTGGCTACAGGAAATAGCTGCCCCCTGCTATTGGCCCGCGGTATCGGATTGCGGAGCGCGTCATCCGCCTGGGCGTTCCACAGGCTCCACCCCTGGAGGGCCATTGGTTGCGAGTAACATTTTTCCGAGCGATTTTTATTGGCTGTCCAAGCAATCATTCATATTTGAATGTACTTAAGTGCTTAAAAAAAGTCACTCTCCACGCCCTGAATATTATTAAACTCAGTTGGCAAAGTACGATGAATACTAGGTGTTATAAAAGTCGTTACATCCGACACCTCGGCCCCTCGCCGCGACGGCCGGCCCGGCGCATGTGTATAAAATGGCGAGCTGACGCAGGCGTCCTGAGACGTCCCCCCTGGCGCCGGCGCACGTGAAATGGCGGTCGGTAGGCCGCCGCGGCCCCACGGCGCCTGCGTGGTGGCGGTCGTGGCGGCCCGTTTTGCGCAAGCGTAATGGGCGGAGAAAGGGCCTGGTCTCAGGATTGGTCGCGCAGGCGCAGGGACGGATCCGTTTTGGCGGGCGGTTGGCGTTGCGCAGAAGGCGGCGGCGCTGGTGGCTTGTGGTGCGGCCTCACCACAGAGGAACTGGGAGGACGTGAGCGCGAGTGACCGGTTTCGATCCCAGGTAAGTGGCGGACAGTCTCGCCTGCCCCTACGAGGTCTTGAACCGACTCCAATTTGGCCCGTTATTGTGTGAAATGAATGGAGCGCGGGTGGGGGCCAGTGAGGGGAGAGCGGCGGGCCCGGCTAACCAATGGGCGGGCAGGGGCGGGATGTTTTATCCCTTTAGGTTAGGCCGAGCTTTGCAGCCCCAGAGTTTGACAGGCGGGTGCGACGGCCAATTGCAGCTGCCCGTGGCCGCCGACTGATCGGTCCTTGGGCCTTCGGAATGCGGGAGGCGGGTTTTCCCCGCCTGAGCGGCGTCTCGCGGAGCCAATGAGCACGGAGCGCGCGGTAGGTTGGGCTTCCCAGAGGCGGCGCTTCGGCTCCGGCGGGGACTGTGGGAGTCGGGCGGTTCGTGGACGGACCCGGTCCGGAGCCAGTGGGCGCGCCGCCTGCGCGAGGCGCTCGGGCGGGGCGTCCAATCGGCGCCCCAGAAGAGGGGGGTCTTAGGTTTGGGGGTGCGAGGCAGGGGAGTCGACGCCTGGGGTGGCGCGTGGCGGGCTGGGCCACAATGACTTCCCACGGAAGCCGCGGGGCCGCCGCCCTGGCAGGGGCGCCCCGAGTTCGGATTTCTCGCCCCTCGCCGGTGCCTCCCCCCCTTCACCCCGTCCCGGAGCTGGCGGGGGGCACGGGCGTCTTCTCGCTTTGAGGACTTGCCCCGGGAACGCTGCTTTGCGTGCCGGCGCGAGCGGGTGCCGCCGTCCGGCGTGGACGGTTGCCCGCGAGACCCGCGCGGGGGCGGCGGCCCTTCCCCGGGCGGGTGTCTGGGCCGCGGCCCCCCGACGGGCGCTGAATGTGGGGGCGCAGTGGCTTCCAGGGGGCTTGGGTGTCTAACGTTTCAAGTCTTTTCAGGGATGGTAACTGAGAGTAAAGTGGGAAAGTCAACTCTCGTGGTTTTAGTTATAACCCCGTTTCTCACCATCTCTCTTCTTGCACCTCCACGAAGTGCTGTTTTCCCCTTAAGAGCGTTCTCTGTATAAAAATGCAAATAAAAAAGGTAACTTGGGGGGAGTACTTAGTACTTGCTATAGGCGTCCTGCTCAGTGCCCTTCAAGCATCATCCATGTCCCCAGTGCCCTTACCTTGGTCTCATCTGTGAGGAACTTTTTCTCGCCTAAGTCTCTCTCTCTTTACACCATTAAAGATGGTCTAAGACCTTTCTGCAGCTCCTTTGAGGACGTCTGAATTTGGATAAGTAGGAACTTTCACAGATGAGTGATACTTATTGAGGGTGGTGGGGGCAGGAGGACTCATCCATCACCTGGATTATTCATTGTCTTTTGATAATATTTCTTCAAAGTTTATTTTACATTCAGTCCTCCTTGTGATTATTCCGAGATGGTTTAGTAAAATTAAAAAAAAAAATTGTTGCCTATTGGCTGTGTTAGTCTGACTACTCTGTTCACTAATTTAACACCCAAGGGGGAGAAATGTTTACTATAATCATTTCAATTACATACGAAGTGCACTTATGATTAGAGACTTTCTTGATATTGTACAAAAGAAAGGTGATTTTAGTTGAGCTTATAATGAATGGAGGAGAGATTTCCATGTTTTTCGGCACTTGCAAAGGGACAAACCTATTTTGTGTTTGATATAACATGCAGCTGCTAAAAACAAAGTGATAGCTGCTAAGGTAAGGGTATCTGTCTCTAATTGATGTAGGTTTGAAAGTAATACAGTCTTTATCTGTCACAGGGTTCCGCAACTTCAGCAGTATTCACATTTTGAGTCTAATAAATGCATCTCACCTACCTTCCTCCACATCTTCAGTTTTGGTGATCATTGTCTCCAAACATTGCCAGATGTTGAGGTGGGGATTGGGGGTGCTTGTGTGCAAAATCTTCCCAGTTGAAAAACCATAGATGTAAAATCGACTGACGCTTGAATTGATTATTTTGTCAAAATCTTTTATTTGACCAACTGGAAATAGAGGGAGAAGATGGGTCAAGTGTTAAGAAGTGACCTTTGGTAAATGGAGTGCTAAGTCCTAATGATTATCTCTTCAGATAGAGTGACCATTGTTCCATTGGATGAAAAGAATATCTCATTAAGGTTTTTAGCATTTCTTGAAAATGATACACAATTGAGTGCATCTTGTGTTTGGCTCCCTAAAATAATGACACACGTTTTTGAAAATGGGAAGCTTTGTTTTAGATTCTTACATTTTCACCTAATTTGAGTTTCTTTTCTCTACTGGGATTCTTTTGAATCGGTATCTCTCAAATTTTGGCGGTGTCCCGCAGTGAGAAATACATTTTACATAGATTCTGTACACACAGTTGAATCAAGTTTCACTATACAAGTAAATGTGCTGCAGCACACTGATATATTCTAATCAATAGTATACTATTTTCTTTAAAAAGCAGGTCAGTTTCTCTGAACTGATTTTGCAGTTGTGTACAGACCCACAGCCTGCGGGGCAGGCACAACTAATCTGTAGAATAGGTTACCAGATCATGCCACCTTAGACTGCTCTCTGAGTGGATTTCCTCCCATCTCCAGCTACTTGGATTTATAGACAGAGTAATCATTGGCCCTTTATTTGATGTTTTTAATAATGTATTTTAATTTGAAAGATTTCAAGGATCTGTATTGCTTGATTTACTGTGAATTCTCTTACAGTGTCATAGTTAATAGGCCTGACGAACATTTCTCTCTGGTTGAGGAAATTGTTGAAAGTAATTTTTCATAGAATTTCCAAGACTGTCACAATCTGTATTACAAAAATTATGTCTCAAGTACTTGAGCTTAGAACTTAAATACATACTGTTGCAGCCAAACCTAAAAGAATTGTTTATATGTTTCACTGCCTGGAAACCAGTCAGTGGGAAGCTTCATCTGGAATCTCTGGTGAGCAGGATGATGACTGGGGAAAGATAAAGAATATCCTTCTGAGGTGACTGGGTTTTTATATTTCTCGGAAAGCTGTGGTGGTGTTTTCAGAGAGCCCTTGATAGTACTAGAAAAGAGAAGAGTCTCCAGAGTACAAAGGTTCTTGATGAGGACTAGGGTGTGTTTTTGTTTTGTTTTGTTTTGTTTTTTGCTTTTTTGAAGAATTTTGTGTGAGCTCATCGCACCACTTATATATTTTATTGGAATAGCCCACCCCTGGTGAAGTCTTCCTTTCTTTGTCATTTTATATGTTCTATTTTTATTTCCATCCATCTTACATGAAATTGGGCCTAAAGCCAATTGTGTGCAGTGAATATAGATTTTAACAGCAATAAATTACAGTGCGAGATAGCACTGTAACTGACTTGGTATGGCTGCTATTTACACATTGTTATTCGTGAACTTGGACTCTGGGCAATCATCTTTTTTCCCTGACATAAACTTTGATTTTCCTTCCCTCCTAACAGGATGGCTTTAACTGATCATTGTACTGATGGGAAGGAGTCCAGGTCATCCTGAGAAGAGTTGGCTTGTGCAGAGTCCAAGACACAGATTTGTTGGATTTCTGTAAGCCACTCGAAGCCACATATTCATTTCTGATGACAACTTTACACTTGTGTTGGCAGAACACCCACAGTGACAACTGTTGCCTATGTTTAGTCTGTCCAGGAGCTCTACCAGCTAGTATGTTTGGGGAAAAACCTACACTATTCTTGTTAGCAGCTATATCAATATTAAACCTTTCTGAGTTTATGTTCTCAGATGTTCCTGAATTTTGGGGGTAAATTGCATCCTATGATTGCCTTTATTTACCCTTTGAGGTCAGGGATTAAAGGTTTTAGGGAGTTCTTTAGGTGTCTCGAAGTAAATTCTTTTTGGATCAGGGGTTGGTTTTATATATGTCCAGTTAATGATTTAAAACAATTTATTTCCCCTGTGCATTAGTTTCTTGGCTATTGTAATAAATCTAAAGCAACGGGAATTTATTCTTTCAATATGCTGGAGGCCAGAAGTCTGCAATCAAGGTGATGAATCCCCTCTGGAGACTCTGGGGGAGAGTTCCTTCCTTGCTTCTTCCAGCTCCTGGTGGTTCTCAGCCTTCCTTGACTTGTGTCCTCATCTCTCCCTGCTCTCTCTTCACATTTGTGTCTGTCTCAGAACTCCTTCACCTCTCTTGTAAGTATTGCATTTAGGGTCCACCCAGATAATCCGGGATAAACTTCTCCTTTAACATCTTTTAATCACATCTTTTGCTGTGTCAAGTTTGAGGGATTAAGATATCTTTGGGGGTTGTCATTCAGATCACTATACCCTAGTTCTCCAGTGCCTATCCAAACCTAATTTTTTTTTTAAAGGGAGTTATTC